GGCGGGTGCTGCACGTCCGCCGGAGCGCTGGGAGGGGGGGACGTGGGGACATGGGGACAACAGGGACAGAGGGACGCGGGGACATGGGGACACAGACGGGGAGATGGGGACGCAGGGAAACAGGGACACTGGAACACGGGGACACGGTGGGACAGGGACATGGGGAGATGGGGACACGGGGACACAGGAAGATGGGGAGACAGGGATGTGGGGACATGGGGAAACGGTGAGATGGGGACATGGGGAGGGCTGGGGGCTGTGTGCTGGGCAGGGGGACATGGGGAGTGCTGGGGCATGGGGACACCGGGAGCGCTGGGGCCGAGTCCTTGTTTGTAGGGACACACAGGGCACTGGTCGTGGGAAGTGGTGACACGTGGGGTGCTGGAGCACTGGTTCTGGGACACAGAGAGATGTGGGACACTGGGGCACTGGTCCTGGGGTACGAGGACCTGTGGGGCACTGGGGCCTCAGCCCCGAGGCACAGGGACATGTGGGGTCCCATGTCACATGGAAGGCACACGGTGACCCTGGACAGCTTGGCAGGACCCTGCTGTGGGAACACGGGTTCGGTGCTGAGCAGTGGCATTTGGTGTGGGGCACCATGAGGGCTCCCCAGCCAGCCCTTGTCCTGTCTCCCCCCCAGCCACTCTGTCCCTCTACCTTCCCCCTCCCACCCCCTTCAGCTCTCACTTCTCCTTCAGTCCTGTTTTTCCTCTGTCTGTCGTTCCTGCAGATCTCGTGGCTCTCCCTGCTGTCCCTTTTGTCCCCTTCCTGACCTCTCCCTGACATTTTTGGGGTCCGTTGCGCTTGTCCTGGTTCCCCTGCTGCGTGCTGACGCGCAGGGCTGGGCTGGGGCTGTGTCCCTGGGTCAGTTATTTCCCTCCACGGCCCCTTTGCTGCAGGAGGCAGCTGGGAAAATGGACCGGGGGCCACCCAGCACCCACTTGGCTGGCAGGAAGGGGATGGCAAAGTGGGACAATGCAGGGTGGCCCCCTCAACAGGGGGGCAACGGCTG